ACCGCTTGACTTGACATCTGTTGTGCGGAGGAAGGAATATGAGTTGGTGGGTTTTCGAATTTTATTTGTTTAGAAAATTGAACAGGGTGGTTTAAATCAAACGAAGAAGCGAATACAAACTCCAACCGGCCATAGACTGTCTAAAAACTGACAATAAACCCGCACCTCTTGATGAGAAAAACTGCTTTGAAGTTCAAAAGTTCACGACGACGTGAAACAGGTCCTTCTCAAGTCGTCCACGACAAGACGACGACGGAATTCTTGGTTCGCGCTTACGCAGTGACGTTCTTGCTACTTCCGGTCGTCGTCCTCCGTTCGTCGTCGTGGTTGCTTAAGCTCCTTAATATAAGCGCTTCGGGACGAGAATGAAACCTTGAGTAACGCGAGCCGGTGAGAGGTCTACAAAAGACGTTGTACTGTCTGACCAGCGGTAAAACCTCGCCTCCACTTGTCTTAAATATTCCCGCGGGCGTTAAAACGCGCGTCCTGCAGCGCTAATAGTCAGCTTGTTATTTCCCGCGCGTTTCACGTAAAATAGCGCGAACCTTACTGCTTTGGCTTCTTTCGAGCTCACGTCATGGTTGATTTGAAGGCGCTCTTGTATGACTTACAAGGAATAGTTTTGGTGCCCTTTTTTCCAGCAATAGATTAACTTCCACTTTGTGAGAGAAAAATTGAAGAAAATCTTACCAGTCTCTGCAAACGCGAGACAGGTTACTTTCACGTAGAAACGGCAAAGCTGGGCATGGGCAACCGGCAAACGTGGAAAATGGCGGGAAAAAACAAGGTCACGTGGCTAACGTTACAGTTCGCGTTTCACGCAAACGAGGTGCTAACAATGAGTGCCTACCCGCAAGCTATATTTCACAGGATAGATTTGCTTATATTTATGACATCTCTTTGGAATTCGATTTCCTTACATCTTTTTTTTTTTTAATTTTTGGCGACTGTCTCCCATAGAAGGCGAAGCCACATATGTTGTCGAGATGAGCGAGTGAGTGAGTTAGTGAGTGTAACTATAGAATTCCGACCTCGACACGATTTTTCCCGCTGCTATCCTAGTAGTTCGACATTTACACTTGATATGCTGTTGAGTTCTCTCCTTTTGTTGTATCTGGCTCGTAACCATAAGCAACGAACGACAGCAGAAAACGACAAACAGCTCACAATTATTCCAGGGCGATGTAAAGCAAAGTTTTCCTTACAGAAATGTCTTGCATAAGTGCGATCGGTGCATCATGAAACATTAGGGATAATTTTTTTTCTTTGAAGAGAGAGCATTTTACGGTTTAGATCAGTAAATTATGTAGATCCGAAGATATAACCTTTTCAGTTCTTGCCGTGACACTACAAAAGATGATAAACATCTCAAAACAATTTCACAGTTGGCATCCACCGACGCATAATTTAAATTTGAATCAGTGACTTACGCCGAAAAGAGCTGCAAAATTTGTAAAGGGAGCATGTTGCGAACGATACATATATCTCATTAACCAAGCGCGAGGGCCGTACTGGGAGAATATCGGCCCGAGGTCTTGACAGTACGGACCGAGCGCAGCAAGGTCTGTACTGTTAAGACCTTGGGCCAATATTCTCCCAGTATGGCCCTCGTACTTGGTTAATACGATATATTTAACATACTCCTTGATGTTCTCTTGAGCACATAGTCATTGCTGAGAACTTTCTCATGCTGGTGTCATTTGGGACACAGGCAAAGAACCAGCCCTAAGTTGGGGGTGTCTTCTATCACTTTAGCACTTAAAACTTGTGTGAGAGCAAACATTAACTTTACATGAAGCACAGGCTTGTACCTGACGGAAGTCCTTCCCTTACTCCAACCTACTACCTTTCAAACCTCAGGTAATTCTAAAAACAGTCTAGTCACAACCTTAGAACATCTGTTGAAATTTATCCAATACTGTGCAGTTACCCTCTCCCGACAGCAAGCAATTCCAATTTAGGTATTCTCAATGTTAGCAGTATTTAAGAAATAATCATACTTTTGGTGGCATATAGAAAATACACCACAGTATTATAAGAACCTCGAAAACTAGTGCATTCTTTGCATGGATCTCCCTCACAGAGTTCTACAAGGTATGCTAATATTAATATTTTCTTTTGTTGTTTTTTCGTTCATACACACAATGGATTTAACCAAAAGAGAAAGGACTGCTCAAAGTTGATGGCTATATTTATTACAAGTTGTAAGATCATTTTACATCAAAAACCTACAGATGTCCTAATTAAACAGCCTTGCATTTTTCAACAGTTTCCTTCCAGGTAAAAAATTTCATAAATAAGAAGTTCCACGGTGACCAATATAATACAAGTTTAAGAAATTTGTCAATCAACTGTCAAAGTGTACACAGCTGAAAAAATTTGCAATAAAATGTGTTTCTCCAGATCAATTGTTACTGCTCTACTACAATTAAACCAGTCAAACAAAAATGTAACTGAGCTGAATTCCAAAGATTTGAAAATTTCCTTACTGTCAGTTGACAAGATGATGGTAAAAGAGCAAACTTTTGCATTTTCTCAAAACAAGGGAGAAATGGGGTAATTGCTAATCTTTTATAGTGGAACCACCTATTTTGCCAATTTTACTAATTTTATTTTACTAATTTTTAACTTATTTTACTAATTTCATGCATCGCTACAATTAAATAATTATTTGGCTGAAGAGTAACACTTATAGCAAAATTCAATTTTCAATTCAATTCATCAAAATTTTCTTCCTTCCTATGTAAATATTTAAGCCTTCATGAGTCCACAACTCATAATCCAAGGTTGAACTAAAGGGGAACTAAGAACTCTTTAGTACAACACTTAATAAATGTAATTTAAATTTATCGGTATGTAAGCTTTAAGCTCTCTCAGGGATGCATGTGCTTTTAAATTTTTTTTTTTTTTTAATTTAATGATTTGTACCAAGTACTGGAGCAGAAACAAGAGGACATGGGTCCCCTACGAGGTGTAAGCTCCAACAAACCCACCCATCCCACCCCAGGGGAGAACATCCATCACACAGTAATCTTGTGCGTGGGAAATTAACGTCTCCAGCCCCTAACCCCGCAGGAGACAGGACCTCCATTTATT